TTCTAGAAGATTCAGGCTGATGGTCATTCACATCTTCACTGAGCCTCTCTTCCTGCTGAGAAAGTCTTGGACATTCTTACACATGACCTGTTGCCAAGAATTAAAAGGAAACAAAAACTTCCATCGTTTTGTACACTCCTTCCAGTGCTGGGATGTCCAGCCAGGACTTTAAGCTCACACTTAAAGTAAGGAATATACTGTAGTCTTCTCTCCTCCTTGGAAATCCTACTTTGAAAACACTAATCTTATGGATAAAATTGGCTTAAAGTCTTAAACTTGTTAATATGCCTTTGTCTTACTAATCAAGAGGAGGATAGACAGCCCATTTTGTGGGGATGAAGGGTTAATCCAAACCCCTCTCCTTAATACAATACTCCTGAACACATGGGATTTATACACATCATAGAGTGCTTTTTGAGAAACTCCCAAAGGAGTCCTTTTTCTTCTTTTTTAATGTAGAGCCTATTTGCCTAGCATCCCTAAAGAAGCTCATGTTATTTTTGTCACTTAGAGTCTTCTGTAGCAGTTAATGTAATAAATAAAAATGTCTATTTGACCACATCCTTGAGGATGTTGAGAATGCTTGGTCAATTGGCTTAGCAGCTTACTGACTTTGAACAGTGGCAGGAACCTGGCCCGAGGATCTCCCCACAGTTACGTGCTCCTCCTGGAGGGGATTTCAGTAATGCGGTCTAATCAGCTTAAGGAGTTAATTAAACAGCTGTCACTTAGCTCCTTAATTCTGAAACTTGATGCTAAATAAGATTTGAAATTAGTTATGCAAAACTGAGCAGTGCTTTTGTGGTACCAGATATTTTCAGGTGGCACAGAATAAAGGAGGCCTCATTCCCAGACAGCAGGGGGTCGTGGGGTGACCCCAAGAAATGAACCAGGGTCCTGGGAAAATGCTTGCCTTGCTGGAGAGTGCAAGCAACCAGGCAAGAGTTCAAAATCTCATCCTTTTCATCCAAAAGGGACCTCATGTTTAGGGATGATTATTATCTACCAGAATAGAAGTCACCAAGTGGAGCTTAGAGGTCAATGTGCCCTGTAAATGTGTTTTGTTTGGAGTTCTCAGTGGTTTTTGCAAAAAGTGAGCCAAATGTGAAAAATCAGGAGATTTCACATAAAAATATTGATCCTCAGCTTCTCTCAAAAAATCAGGAAATGTGCAAACCTGAGTTTGTGTTCCTGCAAGGCAAATATTTTGGGAGAGTTAAAATTGTCTCTTGATTGAGCATGAGATCCTGGCTCACCTAGTTATGGATGAAATCAGTTTTGATGCCATGTCCCAGGATACGTGTCTTGGCCAAGGTGAAGTGGCACTACAAGAGTAGGCTGTATGAGAATTGCCCCATCCCTTGAGATGCCTGTGCATCCTTACCTGTGGCTCAGAAAACCCCCTATAAGAAAGGTGCAAATGAGCAGAAAAGCTCAAGATCCAACCTGATTTGTCCCAGGGTCCTTTCCAGAGGTTCCTCCAGAAATAAAACTGATGTAGGTTTCCATGAGGAATGAACATGGCCAAGGACTCATGATTCTATATGTCATCCAACCATCCTAGCGCAAGCCTGTATGCACCAGACACTGAATAGAACTCATTGCCCAGGACAGTGGAGCCCTGGCTCATCCAGGAGTGTACATGCCAAAGTGAACACGGCCAGTGAGAGGGACATGCAGTCGACATCACCTTTGAAAACTCCTGAGACCACTCGAAAAACACAGTCTCTAAGCTTCAAAACTTCCTTCTTACCTTCAACATTGAAACAGATTATTGCTGCTTGTTTGAGCACCAAGTGAGGTGGCTGGTTTATTTATGCTTAGGGAACCTGTGTGCAAAAAATACAGCTTTAATGTTCAAGTTCTTGTCAATGCTGTAAGATGCTCACACTGGGGGTGGCATGGGTGGTGTGGGTGCTTGCCCACCCTCGTGCTCTCACTCCAGGACAAAGCCTGAGTTCACAGGAGGTCCTCCCCATTATGTGTCCCAGCCTCTCTCCTTTCCTTGCTCCCTGCTTCTCTCCTTCCTTCTCTCTCTCACTTTTCCCTTTTGCCAAGAACATACTGAATTCCTATAAGTCATCATATGTCTTATGACACTACTAACAATAACCAGCCTTAATGAAGAATTAATGATGCCAAGGACTGTATGGACACTTGGCATGCATTGACATACCCGCCCCTCACGAGAAATGTCCAAGATAGAGAGGTAGATAGTACTTGGAACTCCACTTTCCAGATGAGGAAAAAGAGGTACACAGGTACACAGTGTTTAAATAACTCAGAGTCGTACGACTAGGAAGTAGCAAAGCTGGGGTTTGCACCCAGACAGCCTGAGTCCAGAGCCTCGCGCGGACGCATGAGCAGGCTCCTCCTACCAGATGCCATTTAGATCTTTTAAGACAAAGAGGGGGTACATAAAGTGCCCAAGGTCACCTACCTGAGCCAAGTGAGGGCTCACATTGTTCAGGCTGGGCTCCTTTACTCGGGTCCTGCTTCCAGGGTGGAGGAAATCCTGAAGTTAGGTGGAGTGGACAGTCCTAACTATGCCAACATGTGCTTTTCTTACCACCTGCCAGTCATGGTTCTAAGTGCCTTTCATATATGCAATCCTCACTTCCAGCTAGTAACATGGGAACATTTACAATCCCCACTGTAGAGATAAGGAAACCAAGGCATGGTGCAGTCCCTGGTTTGCCTCCAGTCGCGGACCTAGTAGATAGAGAAAGTAGGGTTCCCAGTCATGCCATCTGGCTCTAGAGCAGGTGTCCTTTACTCTATTGCCTTCATATAAAATTTACCACATACAATACCTATAATATTATATATAATAAACTGGAAACCATAATATCTATAATAAGCTAGAAACAGTAAGACTTATTGTTTCCATCTGGAGGCATTAAGAAAGAGGCAGCATTCTCGTTGGGCCTTGAGCTTATTCTCTCATGATCATTTTTAATAGGAAGCTCCACTGGTACAAAAAATACAATTTAAGAAATTTATTTATACTTAGTTTTCAAGGATACGTGTACCACAAACAGCCAGCCACCTCTAGCCGCACAGAGCCCTGTGCACAGCAGAGTTGTAATTGCCACAACGGGAAGGAAATTAAGGATTTCCTGCTTTCTTCTGTATTTTAAAAATTTCTCCTGCTCTTTGGTGTGTATATTTATTAAAACAAGCCCTGAGTCTAGCAAAGGAAAAGCAGAAGAAGAGGCCATCCATAACACCTGGAAACGGGACAGAGTCCTAGGACACAGTTCAACCCTGCAGAGTGGTTCTTCTAGTCTGCTCCCCAGGGGACATTTGGCAAAGCCTGGAGACACTCTCCATGCTCACAGCTGTAAGGATGCCATTATTGGCATCTAGTGTTTGAGTCCAGGGATGCTCCTAAATATATGAAGTGCACACAATAGCCTGAAAATGAGGAGTTATCTGGCCCAAAACATCAGTAGCCCAAGGGCTGAGAAACCGCTCCTCCGTGAGCTACACTTGTGTGAGTATCAGAGATCCATTACCAGTTTTCTTTTTTTTTCTTTTTTAAATTTTTTTTTAATTTTTATTCATTTATGATAGTCACAGAGAGAGAGAGAGGCAGAGACAAAGGCAGAGGGAGAAGCAGGCTCCATGCACCGGGAGCCCGACGTGGGATTCGATCCCGGGTGTCCAGGATCGCGCCCTGGGCCAAAGGCAGGCGCTAAACCGCTGCGCCACCCAGGGATCCCTATTACCAGTTTTCAACTTTTAGATTCAACCTTTGTACAAAGCATGGAAGGCTTCATTATATTTCAGACACAATGTAGATGTTATCCACCTTGAGAGCATAAAAGTATCAGCTAGAAATGAGGAAAGTTGGAAGGTCAGGGTGGCAGGAAGAGCAGACGGGAGTTGGAGCCGGGCTCGCACGGTGCATGGAGGTTTTGGGTGTCCGTGGCTGAGCGAGGAGACACATGGTGGTCACAGCAGCCACTTATGCTTCCAACAGGATCCTGGGAGTCAGTGGGACTTGTTACAGGGCTTCTGTTAGGGCAGGGGTCCTCTCAAAGGCTTCCTTATGGGCACATCTGAGGAGTGGGCGCCATGAACCAGACCATCTGCACTGGCCCTTCCATGTGCCTGGGCTTCCGCCCACCTTGGTGTCCAAGTTCCCTGAGTAAGCATCACCAGGGAAAAACCCGGCAGAAGCGAGATCACCTTCTCTGGCTGATCACAAGTGACACGGCCTCACCCTCATGACATTCTCAACCACAGGCAGGAATCACTGAGGCCAGGGCAAGCAGAGCTCCCGCCACTGCACAGGATGAGTGTCAAAGCCTCTGCAGACACAACCACTCAGGAATCGACACTTTATCTCTTGGTCCGAGGTATGTTTGCTTAAGTTATAAATCAAGCCCATGGAGGAACCAAAACAGGAATCTAATTATATTGGCTGAGAAAGGAGAGAGAGATGGGATTTCACCTGTCATGCCAAAAACTAGATAATGGCTGAGCTGGCTTTATCAAGAAAGTGTAATGTAGCATGTTGTTTAGATGGATGAAAAGCCTTCTTAATGGTTAGATGAGTCAAGAGTGGTTGCCTCGGGGAAAAAATAGGGATAAGGAATGTGGATAAGGATGGCCTTTTGTGGCATGTTATGATAAACCTTTTCACAACTGCAGTGTTTTAACAATGACATTGCTTGACCTTGATAAACAATTTTAATTCACATAAAAAAGAATAAGTACCATGGATCTGGCTCGTATCAATAGCTTCCATAAGACAGCCTGCATGGAAGGCCTCATGTGGGCTCTGCAGTGTGGCATCTTGCTGCTTCCCCGTGGGTGGGAGGATAATTTTATTTTACCTGGTATGGCTGCTAACATGCAGCATTTCTCCATACTGTGCCACAGCCATTAAGCCGAGGGGCTGGTGTACTGTTAAAAATGGAATGGTTTATAAATTTGTTTGCAATGCTGGCCAAATTGGCTGATGCTCCCCACTTACTAAAAGTAGTATACAGGTGCTCACTTCGGCAGCACATACACTAAAATTGGAAGGACACAGAGATTAGCGCAGCCTTTGTGCAAGGTTGACACACAAATCTGTGAAGCATGTTATTTTAAAAAACATAAGAAGGAAGATCAAATAGAAGAAGCACACAGGTTATTGATAGTGATGCAGCATTGTTGCTAATGAGATGTATTATTTCTGGGGTCCTGTACTAGCTCTTCTATTTCATGTGGTATGAATAAGAAACCACAGCCCATCCTCTACTAAGTGTTTGTTATCTACAGGGGGTAGAGCCTGGAATGACAGGGCTTGACCAGACAAGCAAAAGACAAGGACAGGATAATGAGTCATTATTGTATTTATTAGGTGATTGATCTTTGTTGGGAAATGAGTTGAAAAGACTTAAGAAGTTAACCACAATTAAGAAACGACACGGAAGCCATGCACAGCTGTGGAGATGTTTGGTTTTGGCACTGCATCAGGCTGGGTCTGCCCAAGCTCATCACAACAGAAACCAGGAGATGGAGGGCCAGCCACCAAACACATGGAGGAAATGTTGGCTTCTCATACCTGAACAGTTCAGAACTGAAGGAGTATTTTTATTTTTTTATTTTTATTTTTATAAATTAATTTTTATTGGTGTTCAATTTACCAACATACAGAATAACACCCAGTGCTCATCCCGTCAAGTGTCCCCCTCCGTGCCCGTCACCCATTCACCCCCACCCCCCGCCCTCCTCCCCTTCCACCACCCCTAGTTCATTTCCCAGAGTTAGAAGTCTTTATGTTCTGTGTCCCTTTCTGATATCTCCCACACATTTCTTCTGAAGGAGTATTTTTATTGTTTGGAAACTGAAGGTGGGGAATGTTATATATTAGTCAGGATAGATTAGGTTATAGTGCAATAACAAGTATCTCCAAAAGTCTCATTGCCTTAAGGCAAAGAGAGCATGTTTATTACTCGTCCTTCACGTCCTCTGGGGGTCAGCAGGAACCTCTTCTCCATACAGCGATGGGGATAACCAGACTAATAGAGGTGCTACCATCTTGTGGCTGCACGATCAGAAATATGCAAGCTCAGTCAGCAGAGCAGCTGATGAGAAACAATGGTAATCGTGCACCAAAGCTTTATTGCCCCAACCCAGAAGTAACAGACAACACTAATCCTCACATTTTAGAAGCTCTAAGTATTCACGTGGCTCCAACTCCAAGGGACCTGGGAAATATGGAGGTGTAAATGGCATATTTCCTGAACCTTCCTTTCTCTGCAGTAAACTGGAATCCACTCACATGGTATACCCGTCAGCATCCAGACTGACTGGCCAGGCGACTCTTCTGATTGATCAGTACTCCTGCCATACCAGGTGCTTTAGGATTTTCCTCCTGTACTTTAAATATCACCTTTGAGTATGATATAACTTGGCAGGAGGGAAAAACTCATTTTTGTCCTGGATATGAGCATCTGTCTTTAGCTGTGCAGAATATTGTATTGGTATGAAAACTGAATTCTTGCATCTTATGTACCTTTGACATCTGATGTCCTAGAATTCAGTCTGCTGTGGACCGAGAATCATAAGGTACTACTTAATTTGTGTTGTTGGAGGTGGAATCAAGAGCAGAGGGTAAATGATGCCAATATTATAAAATTTTAAAGAGAATGGATTGATTTAGCAGAATATGACTTTTTGTACATAACCATCAGGAAGATACCAGAGCATGTCGTGTTGATACAGGTCATGGAAAACTATCATTTGTAGCTGCCCAAAAGGTATCCCCTCTGTGTCCTTACAGCCCCTTGCTGTGTAAATTTCACGTTTTCTAAGTAAATTCCAAAAATCTGCTTTATTCAGCCTCCTTGGGAGAGAACAGAGTCCCTGAGGGATTAGGCTTGTGATTTAGTCTCTGCCAATTAGATGTGCCTGTGTGACACTTTCTCTCCAACGTGGGGAAGAGGAGGTATGTGGGATTTGGAGAGAGGCAGCAAAAGTCTTAAACAATCTGCCTGCCTCCCCAGCCTCCTAATCAGGGCAGAGGCAGCAAGTCTGTGGCAGGTCCACCGAGGGTTCCAGACACTGATCTTGGGAGGTCGGTTGGGCTCTGTTTCCTCAGCCCCATCAACGATGCCAAGTCCTCCATAAATCCCTTTCCCCTGAAATGAGCAAGAACAGATTCTGTTGCCTGCAACTAAAATCCTTGAGTCACACGGTATCTCTCAAAACCAAATGTGGTTTCCAAGGTGTTCTTGAGGAAGGAGCAGGTATGGGAGAAATGAAACACATGTCCCATGCAACAAATATATTAGCAATTACAGGAAGTGGCAGAGGTATCAGTAGGAGAGTAACGATGTTGCAGATTATAGGTAGAGTTAAAATGTGCTTGCAGGGCCTTGCAGTATAGCACCCCAGCTGGTGTCCACCCAGTCTGTGTGGCTCCTTGATGCAGGACGTGTCAGCTCGTCATCTCCTGAGGACCTCGACAGATGCCAACAAGCTTGCTGGTGGAGCATCTGATGCTTCAGTGGAGCATTTGATACGGTCTTGTTAAGTGAGTGTTCAGTTTCTCCGAGGACTATAAGCAGACAAGAGAAGAAGCATTACTTCTGAAGCCTGCTGTTTGAATTGCTGTAAATTCTGGCTGCAGGTCACCATATACACAAGAATGCCTGAGCATGTTCCTTTTATTAAGAAAGTAAGCAAAATACTTACCCCAGCCTTTATCATGGGACGTTCCCTCCCAACACACAAGAACTTTCTAACCACCTGAGTCCATTCCTGGAGCTGTTGCCTCTGCCACCCTGTCCTGTGCCCTTTGCTCTCTTCCACGCTGGACAGTTCCCTGACCTGGCCCATCTCAAGCTATGTCACCCCACCTTCCACGTTTTGCTCCAGGGCTTCTCTGACATGCTGGAAGTCCTGCCAAGTGTGGAGTTGACACCTCCGAGGGAATGCACGCTTCCAGGTTGCAGGCGGACCTCTGGAGATGCTAGCTTCCTGAGTCCCCTGATGCAGGCTGGACATACCACCTCCTGTGGGCTGTTCCTCCTTCCCACACCTCATCCCCCACTCCTACTCCTTGCAAATAAATCAACACCGGCTAGAGACAGTCCCAGGCTCTACTGGGGGGAGAATCAGAATAATGCAATATCCAATTTACACATTGGCAAACTGAGGTTGATAATCATTAAGAAATACTAAGTAAGTCTGCATCTCAATGAGAATAGGAAAGAAACCCTTTGAACCACCTTCCTGGTCATGTATATTAATTAGGGGTTCCTTCAAAGCAAAAGGAACTGATTCTCGTTAAGTTTGGGATTTTTTAACTACTTTTGAGGTATGGTTGACATACACAAAGCTGTTTAATCTATATAACCTGATGAGTTTGGGGATAAATATACACGCCCATAAAACTAGCATCACTGTTGAGGCCACAAGCATAGGCGTCACCTTCCATAATGTCCCTTATTATCATTATTGTATGTGTGTGTGTGTCAGGACCACTTAACATAAGAACCACCCTCTAAGGAGAAATTTGGTGAAAGAATACGGGCTCTCCCAAAGAACAGATGGAACAACAGAAAAGGCAGGAAACCAAAATGTTTCATGGGAATGCAGATAAGAGAGTAAATGACAGGTTTTCAGGTGCTGCTGATGGGGAATGAGGTCCGAGCATCCAGGGCTCCTGCCTGCTCCTCTTGAACGGAATTCCCATCCCTGGGGTTGGATGGGGGGAGGCTGGCAGCATGGCCCCAGGATGCCTGCTGACCCCCGGGCAGCGGGGGTGGGGGGAGATGGCTGCAGTGTCTGTTCAAAGGAGAAGGGATGCCTTCTCCTGAAGATAATTGATGTGCTGTGATGGAGAAGAGATTGGGCAGAAAAAACAGAAGCTTCCATCCCAATGACTCATAATAAACAATATTTTAAGGAAATATTGCCTGAGTATTTAGCTGCAGTCCTATCTGGGACTCATGTCCTCGTTAGCGGCCCATGTAGGAAATGCTTCCTTTGTGTGAATCTAAGGAAAATCTGGTTACCAGTTAACTCTACTTCCACTCCCCCAGAATGGTCATCTTCCAGTTTCCTGTCTCAGGGAGTTAAATGGTGTGAAACTCTGTGCATTGGGGTGTGGGATGGGGCTGTGGGCCGTGGTGACCTGGGGACTCCCCTCACTGGCACTGATGCCGACCCCACGCCAGCTTCCCGTGAGGAGCAACCACGGTCTATGTGCCATGTTGTTTGTTTTATGGCACGTTAGCCCTTGTATGCCCTCCTCAGTGGGATGCTGTAGCTTCCCCCTGTGATGCTCTTGTTAGGAGGAAGCAGTGATGCTGCTAACACCGCACCTATTTTTATTCCTTCCAACCCTACTCATCTAGCTCAACACACATGGGACCATCTCAGAGCCATATGTTAAGATAGCACATGATCTCCAGAGGGGCCACGGTAACAGCGAAGGCAAAAAAATCATTTTCTCCTCCCTCATTAGGGACCATAAGCTATTTGACTTGCTGGTTTCAGCCTAAGACCTGAGATATCTGTTCTCATGCCCTTCTGGAGGTCACAGTCCAAACTCAAGGTGAAGACAGGATCACACTCCCTCTGAAGGCTCTTGGGGAGAATCCTTCCTTATCTCCTCCAGCTTTCATGGCTGCTGCATCCTGGATGTTCCTCGGCTCCTGGATGCACCACCCCCATCTCCGCCTGACCTTCACAGAGATGCCTTCCAGGGGGCTCTGTCTGTGTCTTCTCATCTCATGAAGACACCAGTCATTAGATGAGGACCTCCTCCAGAACGACCTCATTTGAACTTAACTCATTATGTCTGCAAAGCCCCTCTTCCCAAACGAAGCTGTAAGGAGGTTTGAGTGGACATGAATGTTGGGGGGATGCTGTCCACTCTGGTGCAGCTGCCACTCACACCTGTGTGTTTATCAGACACTCAGAGAGGATGGATGAGGCATGGGCCATTGTCATAAATTCCCTAACATTGTTGACTCCTCAACACCAGGGAGACCCAGGAAGTGAGCAGTGTGCTACCCTCATTCCATTGTTGAAGCTAATTAGGCACCGAGAGACAGGTGAGCCATCTGAAGTCTCCCATGGGACAGAATCAGAGGC